TTCGACAACCGTTCACATGATGGACATGCCAATCACCTGGCAGATCCTAGAAAGGTCAGGCATAGGGCCCTCCATAGCCGGCGCCTGTTGAGCCCCCACTCAGTAAACCTCACCCTCAGCCCTGAACGCCACAAACCGTAAATTGCAGTTTCGGGGGATCCGCCCACAACACTTTTCGGATTTGCGAAAAATTGGGACTGAGTACAGTAGAAAGAAACGCAAAGCAAAGAGAGGACTCCGAGCCCCAGGATAGAACCCATGCTTTCCAATCACAAAGAGGGTTTCCATACGAAGAATCAACCATGAACCTCCAAGTACGGGTTAGACCATGGAACGGAAGCCAAAACACAAAGCCTGCCAGCAAAACATACTCGCAGGAAGCAAAGGTTGACTTGAATGTTAGGGTGAGGGGATTGTAGCAGCGCCCTTAGGTAAACCTTAAACCCTAAAGCCGAAGACCTACACCCAAAACCCTATAAAAGTCACAACAAGTAAGCATTCGGGCCTGGCTGTTGGTGGAGTTTAGGGACGTCATCTTCCTGAGCTGCTTGCTAAGGTTGAGGGTTCCGCCCCGAACCCTAAACCCTAAATCCTAAACCATAAACCCTACACCCCAAAACCCTACATCATGTTCAGTGAAGAACGACTGGCCGGCATAAGTGGTGAGTAATGTACGTCGACCTCCCCCTTAAACTAACAGTCCTTCATAGGGATTATAGGCATTAGAATGGGGGGGGGGGGGTGTATACTATAATCCCTCTTAAGGGCTCTTAGTGTAGAGGATAACATCCCAAGGTGAAAGGTTCCCAGACGGCCGAGGAAGAACAACTCGAAACTAAAAGAAAAAAACCGTAGGTCGGCCTTCGTACACGGGGGGTCCGAAAAAGTGGCCAAAATGCCCCAGGCCGCAGGCCCTGAATCCAAGCCTCAAGCCTTAAACAAGGTGGTTTCGGGTTCAGGGGCGTGGGGGGCACCCTGCTTTGTGTAGTTGGGGGGGGGGGGGGCTAAGATCACTGCAACAAATTTCTTTTACTTCGAACATCCCCACCTTAGGGATTTGGATTTGGGCACTCCAGGGAGTCTCTGGGGTTGGGCAGAGGGAGTCTCTGGGGTCCTCTGGGGTTAGGCACTCCAGAGAGACTCTGGCGTGGTTGGGCACTCCAGGAAGACTCTGAAATTGCTCGCTCCAGAGCAACTCTCAGTAAGACTCTAGCATTAAGCACTCCAGGAGTTACTGGCGGGGAGTTTCGGAACTGGGCACTCCAGGGAGACTCTCTGAGGTTGGGCACTCCAGTGGGCACTCCAGGAAGTGGGGGTTGGGCAATTCAGGGAAAGTCTGGGGCAGCACTCGGAGTCGGGCAATCCAGGTTGGGCACTTTCTGCCAAAAGACTCTGGGGTTGGGCACTCCAGGAGTCTCTGGCTGGGTTGGGCACTCCAGGGAGTCTCTGGGGTTGGGCACTCGGGTTGGGCACTCCAGGAGTGTCTGGGGTTGGGCACTCCAGGAAGTGTCTGAGGTTGGGCATTTCAGGGAGTCTCTGGGTTGGGCACTCCAGGGAGTCTCTAGGAGTAGAGGAGAAGAGTTGAGTTTAAAATCTAGTGGGGAATCAATGCATCGGCAGCGCTCAAGCCTGAACACCTGCAAACCCACAGCCCAACCCCCTCCCCCCCCCCCCAAAAAACAAAATCCAAATTGTCCACAGAACACCCAAACACAAACACAAAAATGAACAACGACTGGAGTTGCTAAGCCCTCTCAGGCCCATCAGCAACCAACAAACCATGGCCAAACATCCTCGAACCGCTACAGCCCCCTCAGCTCCTCAACGCTCAACACCCTAAACCCTTAACACCCTACAGTAACCTCCCCAAAACCATAAACCCCATGCCCAACCAAACTAAACCCTAAACTCTAAACTCTAAACTCTAGACCCTAAACCCTAAACCCTAAACCCTAAACCCTAAACTACCCTAAACCCTAAACACTATGCCAAGAAACCGCCAATCTGAACACCGGCAGCTTTCCAGGGCAAACGCAAGATCTTCGAAGCCTCCGAGCACCATCCACCAGCGGTGTAGGGTCTAGGGTTTAGGGTTTAGGGTTTAGTGTTTGGGTTTAGGGCGTAGGGTGTAGGGCTTAAGACCAAAAGCAGGGGTTTCGGGTTTGGGGCTTAAGCCCCAAACCCAAAAGAGCCAAGAATCAAAGGGTCTCAATGGTCTTTAGAGGTGTCCTTTCAACAGACAGAAAGATAGGATTTTAACCCCAAAGCCCTAAACCCCAAACCCGTGCACCCTAAGCCAATTCACGGGAGCCCGCAGCACCGCAATTCCTTGGCCCGTTTGGACCTAACACAAAGACGACAGCATTTCAAGGTGTTGGAGTCTCGGGAGTGTGGGGCTGAGGGGTGGGTTCTAGGGCACAGAGGGTAGAGGGTTTGGGGTTTAGCAGTGTAGGAGGAGACTCGGGTTCATAGGGTGCCCATCTAGGGTTTAGGGTTTAGGGTTTAGGGTGTAGGGTTTAGGTCAAAAAGGCAGCGGGTGCGCCGTGGTAGTCTTCACATTTAGGGTCCGGTAAACAGGGCTTTCTTTATATGGGAGCTGATCCAAAAATACCTGTTCTCCGCATGACCCTGCATTCCATCATTTCAACCACTAGGAGCCCTAGATATCTTTTTCAGAAGGACCTTTAGATCAACCCCCCCATTCTGCTTGCGGTTTCTGTAGTCTAAGGCCTGGAACCATGGGCCCTAAACCCTAAACCCTAAACCCTAAACCCTAAACCCTAAACCCTAAACCCTAAACCCTAAACCCTAAACCGGCCCTTACCCTTGCAAAAAGGGATCCGAAGTATTGGCCTTGATTATGCGTGGCGTACTTATAAGGGCTATATAACAAAAGAACCAAAATGAAGGGCCCATGCTTGGAACCTTAGATGCTGTTTAGGGTTTAGGGTTTAGGGTTTAGGGTTTAGGGTTTAGGGTTTAGGGTTTAGGGTTTAGGGTTTAGGGTTTACGGCTTAGGGCTTAGGCTTTAGGGCGAGGGCATTTTAGGGCTTAAGGTTTCTGGTCCAACACAGCCAAGGAGCCGAGCTCGCGTGCCAGGGTGATCCAGGGCTGGAAGAAGGTCCTCGGATGAGAGGTGTTGGAGATGGGGTTTGGGAGTTCGGGTTTAGGGGGGTTTAGGGTTTGAGAGGTATTGGGGTTTGGGGTTTGGGGTTTGGGAGTTAGGTTTGGGGGGGGGGGGGGGGTGGGCGGGGGGTGTAGGGTTTTAGGGTGTTAGGGATTTAGGGTTTTAGGGTTTTAGGGTTTTGGGTTTTGGGTCTTTGGGGGTTTAGGGTTTAGGGTGACAAGGAATGATCCGAAACTGCTGTCCTCGAGCATGTCTTAAACCCTGCGCCCTCAACCCCGGCATCAACAGCCAATGCCATAAACCCTGAGCCCTGAACCCTGTAAACCCTATAAACCCTACAACCCCTACAAACCCTAAATCCCTAAACCCTATAAACCCTATAAACCCTACAACCCCTACAAACCCTGAATCCCTAAACCCTATAAACCCTATAAACCCTATAAACCCTATAAACCCCGTAAACCCGACAAACCCTTTAAACCCTATAAACCCTATAAACCCTACAAACCCTACAAACCCTACAAACCCTACAAACCCTACAACCCCTACAAACCCTCAACCTCTACAAACCCCAAAAACCCTCAAAACCCTAAAAACCCTATAAACCCTACAAGCCCTACAAACCCTAAATCCCTGAACCCCGAAGACCCTTTGCCTATACCGAGGCCTCCAGCTTGATCCATACTCATACTACGGCCTTGGGGCATTCAAAGGAGGCCTCGAGACACCCAAACCCTGAAGCCGTGTATCCCTGCAAAGCCTTCAGGGTTTAGAGTTTAGGGTTTGGGGCTGTGGTTCATAGGGTTTAGGGCTAAGCCTCTTCAGCAAATCCACAACACCCCAAGCCCTAAACCCACAAAAAAGAACCCTAAACCCCAAACCCTAAGCCCCCATTTTCACAAAAAAAGTCCTAGGAAGCCCTCGGACAAGTGGCAGGTGCAGCTGGGGGCTACGGCCGGCTCGGAAGGCCATACCTGGGTTTAGGGTTGGGGTTTGGGGTTTAGGGTTTAGGGTTTAGGGGATCACACCTAGACCCGGGAGTAGCCTAGGAATAAAAGGGGTACCCTTTTTGGTTTTAAGGGGATTATAAAGGAACCCCGGCCCTAACAAAAAGGTAAAAAGGGCCTTCTCCCGGTCCTAGACACACGAATTTTTGAAGGCTGAGTTCAGTGTGTGTTTAGGGGTTTCGGGGTTTAGGGGTTTAGAGGTTTAGGGGTTTATGGGTTTAGAATTCTTGGGGTTTAGTGCTTTAGGGGTTTAGGGCTTAGGGACCTAGGATCTGAAAAACCCGCAAAACACCAAAGCCATAAACCCTACACCCTTCAAGCCCTGCAATTGGTCCCGCTCACCAACCGGGATTTTCTCCTCAAAAAGGCAAACGAAACAACCATGTAAACTTCTTCATAAGTTCATTCATATGTTTGTTTATACGATTATGCTATGATATTATTAGGAAGAGATATTGGTGCTTTTGGATATTAACATTTCGTATGCCCTTGTTTGTTTACTATGATTTCCATCAGCTTGCTTATACATGTGTATATATATATATATATGTGTGTGTATATATGTATGTATACATATATATATATACATATATATGTATATCTATATATATATATATATTACTCCATCGATGAAAATCTCTTTTCTACGCTCAACTGGGAATCTTGAGAGTTAGATGCATCGGCATATATACACTGTACACTATACAACTGCATGACCTAGATTAGGCGGTACAATTTTGCACCCCTTCTAGTGCGCAGAAATGCCTTCTAAGCACTATACTTTCTCTTCTGCTATGTGCGGAGTGAAACTTCTCTGGTATTGGGCTCATTCTCACGCCTAGGTAGCGGAGTCTGGCCAGGGACCTTTACAAGAGGAGTTCCTTGTGCCCGCGGCTCTTTTCAGAGCTCAGTTGAACACCGAGTGTCTTCAGATGCTTCCTCAGCGTTGGTCCTCCTACGCTCTTCGTGAGGATATCTGAACAGTTCTTCTCCCCAAGCACTTTATGGATCCTCAAGTGGTCTGCTGCCACGCGTTCTTGCAACCACAAGTACCCTGTTTGTACGTGGCGAGCTTTTCCCAGGCCTATCCGGCTCCCTTGGCCTTTGGCTGCGTTGGAGTCCGTCTCCAAGACAACCTCCAGCTCGCAGCTCCAATCTTCTAACAGGGACTGGATCCCAAGTCCAGTCGAACCTGCCTTCACTAAGGCGTAGTATTCTGACTCCCCTGTCGATAGGGCAATCGTCGACTGCACGTTTGACGAGTGCTTTATGGGATGCTGGCCATAGAACGCGATCATACCCGTGGTGCTCCGTCTCGTAACGGCGTCACCTGCATGGTCCGCATCTACTTGGATACGGAGCTTGGTTGGTTCTCGCTGTTGTTCATAAACCACTTCGCATACGGGTACTGCTTGAGATAACGAGCCAACCGCTTCAGGTTGCCCCAGTCAGCGTCTGTCGGCATTACCATCTTTCTTGACAGTGTCTTGACCGCATGGCCTATGTCTGCACGATCTTGTGCCAAGTATGCTGCGCGCATCACCAAGGACCTATACTGCTTCACCATCTCTGGTGGAAGTGCAGCTGCCTTAGCTTCCAGCAATTGTTGATCCACAGACTTCTTAACATCCGCTGTCTCTACGCCCTTACCATTGTTCAGACCCAGCTCCTCGATGAGGAGTTCTGCATGCCGCGAGTCTGCTTCAATCACGGCGCAGGGTCTCCCACTGTGTTGCTCCAACCGTATCACCCGATTGAGGAAAGTGATCTGGTTGCTTCCTGCAACTCCGATTCCTACCTCTCCTGTGCGCTTCAGCTCGTAGGCTTCTCGGAGTGTCTTGTCTAGTGCTTCCTGCGCTGCTTCGTCACCCAAGCACAGAAAGTCGTCTCCGTGTACTAAGACACGGGCATCCAGCACTGGGTGATAGAAGACTGCACCATTGCTTCTTCCTCTCTTCCATCCTGCTTGAATCAGAGTTTGAGTGTAGTGGTCCTGCCATATCGCTGGCGCGTCTTGCGTTCCGTACATTGACTTCAATAGCAGTCCACACTCTCCTTCTCCTGCTCCCTCTTCCTCTGGGAGCTTCACATAAATGTTTCTCTTTGGAGTCCCATAGAAATGGGCTCTTGAGATGTCCCAGCTCCCAAGTCGTAACGGCCTCCCGTGCTTCGAGCGTTGTTTGCTCATAAGCATGGACGTAAGAATGCGCACCGCTTCTAGCGGGGGCATAGCCGAAAACAACATCGCTGGGTCTAGCTGGTCCTCGGGGCCCTTCCTGGCCTTGATGTCTTTCACGACCAGTCTGGACCTCAAGTTGGGGTTCGTGTGATCCCCTTTGTTCGTGTCTACCCACTTCAGTGGGATTGGTTGCTTGCCTGTTTCTTGAATGCACTGGTCCAGAGGTACCCTCTTCCACACACCTTGCTTGTGGATGTACTCCATCTCCAGCTGTCTAGCTTTGAGGACTCCTTCGGAGTCCAGGTACCCTCCATTCACGTCGTCCCAGTATTGGTACCAGTTGCCAGCAGGCATGCTGGGCTCCTCGGGTACTGGTCCTGCCGCATACGCATCTACGGCGCTTAGGCTTCCATCTTCAACCATTTGTTCTTTCAAGCCTTTAAGTACAGCATTTACCAGCTTTGGCGGGTAAACCGCAGCACCTCGGGCGATTCCACCTATAAGGCGGACATGCCTATGCCACAGTCCTCCCTGCTTGTTGCTGCACTCTCCCTGAAGGATTTCGGCCAACACTGGACTGTTTGTCATCCAGCCGGTTTCCTTTCTCACATATCCTTCGTTTCCTGCCACGTCGTTGGCCTTCATCTCCCATTTACACATGGGGCCTTTTACCACGTAAACTCTTTCATCCTCTGCGAGGGCTTTGACTTCCTCGTCGTACCATGAGTCCGCGCTCCACGGATGCTCGTGTAGGAAGTACCTTCCCTTTTCCATCTGCTTTCGGTACATCTTAATGCTCAAGTGCAGATGTTGCTCTCCCTGCTCTCTTCTTTTCTTTCTCACCTCTGGTGACACCCGCTTCTGGTTGAGTGCTTGAAGCCTCGAGAAGGCTTCGCACGGCGGGCCTCCGGTCAACAGCCGGGGTTCTTCTGCATCAATCAGCTCTTCTAGTTCTTTCCTGTCTTCTTCTCTAGACAGGTCCCAATGCTCTTCACTGTTGGGCTTGGTCTCACACAAGTCTACCGCATATCCAGGCAAAAGGCCCAGTCGCGGCGCGTGTTCCGTAAACCGTTTTGGGCTGTAGATTTCCATCACATCCACGGCTCCCATGGCTGTGCACAAGGATGCGATATCCATCACCTCCTGTTCGGTGACGTCTACTTGCTCTGCCCTATACTTGTTCCGAACCATGCCTTGCACTAACAGTGCAGTTTCTCGTTTGAGAGAACTCAGCGCTTGCATGCTTTGCGGCGGCTGTTCTTCAGCCTGCTGCTGTACCACTGGCTGCGACACCAGTTCTTCTACATCTCCTGAGCTTGTTGCTCTAGGGTCTAAGCTTTCAGGCGGCTCCTCGGCCGTTCTTTTGATTCCACTTGCCGCGCTCGGTTCACTTTGCGCGGGCGGTGGTTCGTCAAGGTCGTAGTAGGCTCTTCGAGCCCTTTCATCTGCTGACATCGGCTTTGCCGTCTTCTTCCAACTCTGTTGGTCTACTCTCAGCTCCTCGCTTCTGCGGCGTCTGCTTTCCTACCGGCAGAGTCCCGGGTGACCCCGGGCTACTCGTGCCCCTCTTTTTCTTTCTCCCTCCTGCCTCAGGCACGCCTGAAGCCTCCGGTTCACCTACCGCATCAGCTACTCGGAGCTCTTCTTCCCTCTCTGGGGGCTCTGGCCTTCGTCTCTGGCGCAACTCGTGTGCCTCAATTCTGGCCTTTCCCCTCTCGTCTTGAGCTAGAAGCTCCATCATTCTGGCTCTGCAGGCCTCTGTGTGGTTGACCTGCGTCGACTCTCCCAGGAGTACGCATGTACACCCGGGGCAGCCTGGGGTTGGTCCCAGGCGCTCTACATCCGCTTTCAGAATGTACAGTCTCCTTTGGACTGGCGGCGCCAACACTGGTGCCGGGCCCTGCACTGGAAGCGGGCCTTCTCCGTTGAGCCTGTGGCTCCTACCAGCTCTGTGGGCTACATCCCAAGGATAGCCTCTGAGGCTTGTCCATCCCTGAGCGTCCCATCTCTGCTCAGGCGGTAAACGCCTCACTCCTTGCGCCCTCTTCACACCATTGGGTGTGATGACCAGCAACGCTCCGGTCCCGCCATGGTGTCCTATGTACCTGCCCTCCAACATCTTCATGTGGAGATCATTCTTGTTGGATTCCGCGGCGACCGCTTCACGGTAGAAAAGCCTTTCACCCAGCTCTAAGGCTGGCCGTCTCCAGGCCTTCCCTGACCGGCGCTGCTCGGGCGTCCTGCCGTCTTCTCCCTTCCTATACCTCGTGAGCAAGTCTGCTCCGTGTCTCGGCAGCCATGCAAGGACTGGGTCCTCGTCACTTAGCGTGATCCCGAGCTTCTCCTCCAGAGAGCTCTTCATGACCCGTACTTGCCTTTTCACTTCTCTCACAGCTACCTCTGCCAGGCCGTTGGCCTGGTGGTCTCCCTCGGGAGTCTCTTGGGATATTGCTTCAATCCCCTTCAGGCCATCTATGGCCTTCGCCTTCATAGCCTTTATGGCTGGTTCTCCATCACTTTTCGCAATGAACTTCTTGTAACCAAGGTGCTTGACAAAGCCCTGCCAAAACTTGATGGCGTAGGGGTCTGTTCCCTTGGCTTCCACAAAAGTCGCAGCTATTGCTTGCGTCTTCGAATCTTTGATGACCAGGATTGGTTTCACCTTGCCATCGTCTTGTCCCATAAAACAGTAGTCACACGCCACCGTTGGAAGTCCGTCGTTCTGACGCTCACGTTGCTCCCGGCTGCGGTGCTGCTGGCCAATGCCTCTCGCAGCCACGCAGTGGCGACACCACTCTCTGTATTGGACATGTCCAAGCACCTCGTGCTCAGCTATCTCTGCGGCGGTCGGTTCTATCGGAGACCGAACTTGCTTAGGAGCCGCCACCTCTACTTCGCCTTCTTCTTCCCCTTCCGGGCTTTGCGCCGGAGCTTCTGGTCCGGCCACCTCACCGGCGCACAAAGGGTGCCCGGCTTCTGGCGTCCCAGTGGGACTTACGCTTTCAGCTGCCCGCTGAAACCCGACGTTGCGGCCTTGGCCGCCTCGACTGCGTTTGCTTCCAAGTAGAAGTTGTAGACACCTCCCTCCTGGTAGAGGGGTATCGTACCCTTCTTTTCCTCGGCGCTCGCATGTTTTACCAGCTTTTCTATCTTTCGGCCTAACGGGCTTGCGCGGGGTATGAGGTGCCCTTCATCCTCTTGGATCACACCCACATACCCTTGTTTCGCACACTTGTAGGCTGACACCAGCGGTTTGTGCACCGGGGCCAGGGACCCAGTGATCCCCTTCATCCGGCCATTCTCGTCTCTGCCGGAGATTTTGCATGCACCTTTGCTGGTGATCAGTTCTCCACTTGCGGTCTTGAAGGTCAGCTCTGGGCCTTCAGCAGGCGAACCCTTACTCTCCCAGTCCTGAGGGATTGCTGTCCGGGCCGCCCCTGTGTCGTAGTTAAACTTCATCCACCGCCCGCCTTGGGAGGCGGTTTCTACAGCGCAAAGTTCAACTGCACCCAGCTCATCTTCCTGAGCTGGTTCTTCTGCCTCTCCCTCTTCTAGGGATCCAGCGTGCTTTCCTTTGCCTTTGCTTTTGCCCTTGTCCTTGGGCTTGCCCTTGTTCTTTGAGTCCGTGTTTCCCAATTTGAGCTTTGACCAACAGTCGGCGGCTTTATGGCCAGGCTTGCCACAGTTGTGACAGTTGCCTTGGAACTTCTGTACAGAGCCATTCTTGGTTTGAGCCTTTCCGTTTGAGCCATCTTTGCCACCCTTACCTTTACCTTTACCTTTAGGGTCTTTACCTTTCCCCTTCCCCTTCATGAGGGAGCTTATGGCTTGGGTTAAGGCATCAACCTCCATTGGCGCTGGTCCTTGGGACGATGACGCTGGGATTTTCCCCGGTTGTTCTACCGTCCCTTTCGTCTTAACCTCAACCAACTGCTGTATCTCCCCCTTCATATCTTCGTAGGTGTTTAACCTAGCTTTGTTGAGGATAAGATGCTGCTCTAAGTCTGTAGGAACTAGCAACTCTAGGGCTGTACTCTTCAAGTCGTCACTCAACTTTTCTCTCACGCCTGCATCATTCTTTCGGGCTTCGTATCTTCTTATCAGGTCGTCTAGTTGGTCTATAGCTTGTCTAACATGCTCCCAACCCTTGACTCTCACTGGTGACAGAATGGCCCTCAAGAGGTTCCTCTTGCGGCCTGCCGACAGCGGGTCGAACCGCCGGTGCAGGCGTCTCCAGGCCTCAAAACCACCACCAGAGTTCACCACTATGCCCTCGGATTCTCCCGTGCACAGGTGCTGGAGTAGCCGCCATACTTGGTCACCCTTTTCCGGGATGTCTTCTACGGTGTCTGCGGCTGCTGTTACTGTGCCACCGGGGCTAGCGGGGGCTGGGCTGTTACCAAACTGCAGGTCTACATCTGTGTCTTTGACTTCGTCTTCTTGCTCTTGTGCCCACTCAAGTACCTCTTCAAACTTTCTTCCAAACACAGACGCCAACATATTGACGACCGACCGACTCCATCTACGGAACTCATCTTCCACATTGTTGAACCGCTCGGGTCTACCTAGGGCTTTGGTATCGAACAGAATTCTTGTGGAGTCAGGTCCCTTTTCCCTAACCCTCATCGTTTGGGCTAGCTCTGCTACAGACTGAGCTAGGGCTGCTACTCCTGCTTGCCCCTGTTCTGCCTGTTGTTGCTGTGCCCTTAGCGCCGTTATCTCTGCCTGCATTGCTGCGATTGTCTGCTGTAGCTGTTGCACCTGTGTTGCGTCCATCTTGTGTTTTCTACGTCAACGACGGAAAAGAACCCTATTTGGTCTAGGCCAAACTCAAACCCTGCCGCCTACCCTTCCCCTTTTTCTCTCTCGGGCAGCGGCGTTCAAAAAATGCGTTTCTCTTCTCGAAGAAGGGCCGATCACTCGGCCTCTCCCTCGCACTCCTCGGAGCCTTCCTCCTCAGAGCTGCTCCTCAACTGTCCTGAGGGCCTTCTATACACAAAGTTGGGTTTGGCCTTAGCCTCGACCCTGGTTGTGAATGCTACGGCTGCTCTTCTCGCACGCAACTCCCGCTCGTCGCAGCTGCTGCAGGCTCCACCTGCCGTGCCGCTCGCGGCTCGGCCTGCAAGCGCCCTTTGCAAGGACAACCCAACAGATCCCGCGGCTACCTTGGTGATCCAGCCAAACGCCAACCTTCGAATCTGGTAGTTCGTTGTTGGGGTCAAGGGTGCTCCTCCCTTCCGGGTCTCAGGCTTACCGGCGTCTATTCCAGCCCAGTACTGCCTCAACGCCAGGTGCTGGAGTCGCGTGTCCAAGGACGCCTTGTGTGTCCACCCTTCTCGCACCCGCCGGTCCTCCTCTGCAGCGGTCCAAACACCCAAGCCTCGGCCTTTTCCCTTTTGCTTACCTTTCGACTTGGGCTCTGCTTTGGGCGCTGCCTCAAGCGCGGCGATGGTAGGTACTGCCGCCTCTGGTTGCACTGCAGGCTCAGGAACAATCACCAACCCACGGTTGCGGCGGCGATAGATAGCTGTACCTGCCGCTCTGGCCTTTGCCTTCGCGCGAGCCTCCGCCGCACCTGCTGCCAAGATAGCTGCTACCCTAGCCTCTCTTCTCACAGGCACCGATGGTGCGGATGGCACCGACTCTTCCCCTTCACGGGGAGCCGAGCTGCAGCTCGACCTAGACCGGCTTCTTGACCTCGCTTTCGGCTCGGCCCTGTCCCTTGGCACCACCGACAGCAAGGAGCTATCACTTGAAGGTTCCTCCTCAGGCGTAAGGACAATGCTTGGCGTCTTCGGCTGCTCCAACCCCTGATCCTTGAACGCTTCTTCCGGTGTTCCCGGAGAGGTCCCCTCTATAGTTCTCCCTCCGGGGGTGTTTGAGGGGGTTTCACGTAGTTCACGTCGAAGGCCTCAGGCGGTGTGCCTGGCACGCACTGCCGCTTCCACGGCGGCGGACCCTCAGGTTCAGCTGGTGTCTGGTCCAGCCTACGCGAACCTGGTAGCCCCTTGTCAGCAGCCCACACTTTGCGGCCCTTGCGCCGTTCCAGCGCCTCAGCGCTCCTGACGCCCTTCTTCCGGGGCTTTGTACTCCTGCCCTTTCCTCCTTTCCCAGTGACTTTCCTTGTGTGCCCCTTTTCGCTATGGCTCCACGCTACCATGAAAATCTCTTTTCTACGCTCAACTGGGAATCTTGAGAGTTAGATGCATCGGCATATATACACTGTACACTATACAACTGCATGACCTAGATTAGGCGGTACAATTTTGCAATTGAATTTGTATATCAAATATTGCAATATTGTATTCATACATTCCTATACAACTCCATTCTTATACTATTATTGCTTTATGGCGATATTTACATCCGACAGGTCGAGTCTACGACTCTTTCGATCAGTGTGGTCAGTGGTCAGATCGAGCGATTTATGTCAGTTGGTCGTGCTTATTGGGGGTTTAAAGTTTGTTTTTTGTTTTGGGCTGTGGCCTTCTCGTGCTGACATGCCCACATGCCATGACGATTCGACGCATGGTGAGAACACAGAGTCTGGCGAGGATTCTTGGAATGACAGTCCAAGACCCTACCCTGTCTTTTTACCTTCTAAGACCCTAACCACTCTATCCGAAGTTGCCTGCTATCCCAAACCCTAAACCCTAAACCCCAAACCCCAAACCCCAAACCCCAAACCCCAAACCCTAAACCCTAAACCCTGAACCCTAAACCCCCTGAAGCGACGAGGAGGCTCCGCGCCATCAAGGCTACCACGGTGGCCTCTGATGAGGTGAGGGTCTACTTGGAGGTTCATTTAACGGGCACTGAGAAGTGAGTTTAGGGTTTAGGGTTTAGGGTTTGGGGTTTGGGGTTTGGGGTTTGGGGTTTAGGGTTTAGGGCTTTTACGTTTAGGGTACTTCTAAGTAGGGAGATAAGTAGGGTAACTACGGCTATGACCTCATTTGCGATGCTCATAGTAAGTACCCACGGACCTTCAAGTATGGCTTATGGTTTAACTAGAAAATGCAGCATGTGGGAGAGGAGTTTTCAAGACCTTGCTCACACATCGGATTTCGGAGGTTTCTTCTGCAATCGGCTTCCCTGATGGGCATTTTTATTTTCTTATCCCCTCATAGCGCTTATTGCAGGGGCGGCCAAAAAAAATAACGAATGTTGGGATTTACATCGGGATTTGAGGGGCTGAGTCTTCTAGTAGGGATGAACGGTCAACATTGGGGCTTCAAGGAGCTTCATTGTGCCCGAAAAGGCTTAGGTTGCCCCCCTCCAGTACAGAATGGAAGACATATCTTCGCTAGCACCGTACTGGCCGGCATGATACCCTTACTAAGTAGCTGAACCCTCCATAGGGTTTAGGGTTTAGGGTTTAGGGTTTAGGGTTTAAACCCTAAGGGTTAAGGGTTACCCTTACTAAATAGCTGAACCCTCCACCTGACTGACTCCTCCATCAACCTCGTACTGGCTGACCTTATCAAACGGGAAAGTGGTCCGTGGCGTGAGAGGTGTGAAATCACACAACGGAAGGTGCACCGGTCCTGTACCAGCGTTTCGAAGGCTTCGGTTGACGCGTACTCCGCCTCAATCTTGGCCTCCGTGTGCTGTGCGGGGTTCAGGGCCACGACAAACGGGGGTCTTAGCACATGGCCATATGGACTGTCAAACTCGAACCCCAATTCCCAAACCCCAAACCCTAAACCCTAAACCCCAAACCCTATTGGTCCAGGCTTCCGTGTGCTTGGGGTCTGAAGGTGCACGACTACTTGCTTAAGAACTCTCAACAAAAATGAAAGATTCTCCCTTATAAGGGTAATATAGGGATGATGATCTTTGTGTTTGAGGGTTCTTCAGCAAATACTAGTGTACGCAGAGACTCCAATACCCCTTCAAAATAAGCAACAGCAATACTCCTTAAAGTATAAGAGGGTTCCTCATGTGGTTTGAGGATTATTCCTCAATGAAGGGGTATTGGAGCCTTTGGGTAGGGTTTGGGATCTGCAGTTCAGCGGACTAGGCCTGCCATGTCTTCGAATTCGGGATGAAGGTCCAAGGACTTGTTCTACCCTGTTGTTTGTCTTTAAGCCCTGAAACCTAAACCCTGTAAACCCTAACCCCTAAACCCGAATCCCCAAGCCCTAAACCCGAACCCTACAAACCCTTAACCCCCTAACCCCCTCGAATTTCTTGGAGCTTCATGGGTACTTACAACCCCAATTAGAGGACTTAGGGGAGGGGGGGGGCTTATCACGCACAGCTACATTTGGGGGAATAAGTACCCTGAACCTCCAAGTACCTTACAAAGAGGTGAGACATGGCTTGGGCTTGCCTAGAACCATTTGGGTTTTATTCTGGTCTACTTGGAGGTTCATGTTACTTAGTAGCCCAATCATTGGTGTACTTACAACCCAATTACAACACCAGTAGAGTACTTAGGGGGCTTATAAGTGGGTCATAGCTACACATATATAACTACTTGGGGGAGAAGTACCCTGAACCTCCAAGTAGGGGACGCTGCATACCTACAGGTTCATGGGCTATAGCAACCGATTGAGGGTTGCGAATCTCTTGCTGAAGTCTACAACCTTTGCCCTGCACGGCCCACGCCACAACCCGTCTGACACAGACACTTGTGGCACCTATTTTGTTACACAGACCTTGGGGTTTAGGGTTTAGGGCTTAGGGATTTACGGATATGGTTTTTTTTTGGGTTCCTCACTACGAGGGAGTCCTACTATTTGGGGATCTATACCCCTAAACCATAAACCCTAAACCCTATTTTCGTACACCCCCCCCCCCCCCCCCCCTCCCCCCACATGGTCCCTTAGTCTGGGGCCCCCATGTATAACCTATACAGACCGAGGGCCCATAGCTCGGAACAAGGTAGGGTTTAGGGTTTAGGGTTTAGGGTTTAGGGTTTAGGGTTTAGGGATTAGGGTTTAGGGTTTAGGGTTTAGGGTTTAGGGTTTAGGGTCTACGGTCTAGGGTCTAGGGTTTAGTTTAGGGTTTAGGGTTTAGGGTTTAGGTTGTTCTGGGACTATGTTACTAACCCTACCGTCTATGAACCCTAAACCCTATAAACCCTAACCCTAAACCCAAACATTCCAGCACCTGCCTCCAGAACTTTTCGATCTTCCTCAGCGAAGCCTGTGGTAGCACGCAAGGAATCGTCGGGGCTTCATAAACCCTAAACCCTAGAGTTTTGGGTTCAGGGCTTAGGGGGGAAGCGGCGGAGGGGAGAGGGGCTAGAGCTTCGGTGGAGGGTTTAGGACTTACATGGAAGACGAAAGGTCGACCTGTTGGGGATTTCAAAGTAAGAGGGTCCTTAAGGGAGGGGTTTAGGGTTTGGGGTTTAGGGTTTAGGGTTCGAGGGGGTGTGTAACCCAAGGAGCCCTAATACTCCCTGGGTCCCTCAGCTTCCCTCAGGCTTTTCTAGGTACCTGGCCCCCCGACGAACCCCCCTCCCTGAAGAACCCTAGACCCCAAACCCTAAACCCTAAACCCTAAACCCACTTTGCCCGAAAACTGGCTGTCACCCCACGGCCCCCAACACACTCGGCGAAACCCCACCAAGCGGTGCCAAACGGCATTTGGTCTTCTTGAGTGAGAAGCTTCGTACGGCCTCCAAGTACCTGAGTCAAGGCTTGGGCAGTTTAGGGTTTAGGGTTTAGGGTTTAGGGTTTAGGGTTTAGGGTTTAGGGTTTAGGGTTTAGGGTTTAGGGTTTAGGGTTTAGGGTTTAGGGTTTAGGGGCGCTAGACAGGCGTCACTTGGGACATGTAGTTTGAGGGGTTTGGTTTGAGGGTGTGGTATTCAGGGTGAGAGGTTGCAAGTCCCTAGGATGACACCCTGTCCTGCTAGACCCTACAAACCTCGTCAAGTGAAAGCAGAATTAGGGTTCGGGGTCTAGTCGGGTACCCGCTTTCTGATGTACCCAAAGTCCCAATAGCAACGCTCCCGAGCCTGACCCCCCCAAAATCCCCCAAATAACTTAGGCAAGGCCCTGATTTTTAAGGGTTTAGGGTTTAGGGTTTTTTTAATTCAGGGAAGACCAAGAATTCCAGGTGTTCCGTTGGGTTGGAAACCTGGCGCGATGTGCACAAACGTGATGTCCCAAAGAGGACCTGCATCCTGCACGTACCCCAAACTTAAACCCGAGCCCTAAACCCTAAACCCTAAACCCTAAACCCTGAACCCTGAACCCTGAACCCTGAACCCTGAACCCTGAACCCTGAACCCTGAACCCTAAACCCTAAACCCTAAACCCTAAACCAAACCCCAAAGTCTAGCCCTAACCCCTAAACACTGAACCTTATGAACCTTAGACCCTAAACCTATAAGTGCCACATCCCAAAGCGTCCGTTGCCATGTCCTTTCGGGGGGGGGGGGGGGGTGGGGTAGGCAGCCTGTGTTCTTCAAGACCCGCTTGAGGCCTTAGAGGCGCGAAGGTTTCCCAAGCTTCCGAAGTCCCCCCCCCCCCCCCCCCCCCCGGTTTAGGGTTTAGGGTTTAGGTTTAGGGGTGAATTGTGGGGTAGAGGAAGTCAGCCCCTTCTGAATCTCACAAGGCAAGAGGGGCAACGGCAGCGTCTCTTCTTTCACGAAAAGCTCTGTCTGCAGAAAGACCTGACGACGTACCCTTAAGCCCCAAAAACCTTGGCCAAACCCTAAACCCGAAAGCACATGAAAGCCCCACTACGACTGGGAGTCTCGGCTGAGGGTGCAAGGCTTAGGGACCCTCACCCCTTTGTTGCACGAAGTATTTGAAAGCTCTGCACAACAGAACCAGAAACCCTACAAATCTGAATCAGCCCTCAAGGCCTCCATGAGCCCTGCTGAAGCCCATGCAACCAAACCCTGAAACCAAACCAAAAAAGCACCCTGGAACCCTTGAAGCTCTGAACCCACTACCTGTAGCCCAAAGAACCGACCTTTGTAAGGGATAGATACGGAAATTATAATAAGGACCCCCCCCCCCCCAAACAAAAAAAAAAGGAATAACAAAATAAAAGGAAGGTAGGTTGTTGAGGGTATAGGTAGTTCAGGATTCAGGATTTAGAACTCAGGTTGTTGAACTCAGGTTTCGTGGGTTGAGGGAAGTCTTGGGTTTGGGGTTTGGGGTTTGGGGTTTGGGGTTTAGGGTTTAGGGTTTAGGGTTTAGG